TCTGTATGTAAGTCAGAACTGGCGGTCAGTTTCAGCAGCGGCTGAATCTGGACGCCAGTTCCAACTTACATACAGATTCAACTTAAGAACAAACCTACAGTCCCTATCTTGTACGTAACCCGGGGACTGCCTGTATTCTAAATTAAAATATATTTGTTTCTTGGAAGTTGAAATGTATAACTGAATGATAGCATTAGTGTGATATTTCCTGCAGTACAATGAATTCTTAGCATGTTTATACAGCTTCAAATTAAACAGTAGAAACAAACATTAGTGAAGATTCCTGTTCAGAGATTCATCCATTTCTAGATACAAAATATAACATTAATGTATTTTAAGAAAAAAAGTAATATAAAAATTGCCCAAGTTTCCTGCTTCTAAAGTAAAGGTTATAGTTTTGTGGTTTGAAAACAGGTTTGGGAGCCAAGAAAGTCCAATTCTGTTCCTGATTCTAAAAACTTCTGTGAACTTAGGCAAGTCACTAAGGCCAAAAAATTCAACATATCTTGTGATTTTAGATGACTTTGGGATATTTAGCTTCAGACTTCTAGGGTCTGATTATCAGAAGTGTTGAGTACTTGTAACGCCCATTGACTTCCTCTGGAGTTGTGAGTTCCCAATACTTTTGAAAAGTCCAAGGTGTCTCAAATTGAGTATCCAAAATTAGTGGACCCATGTGACAAGGTTGGCCTTATGCTCTATTTCCCAGTTATTCTTCTTCGAGTGATGTCCCCGGGGGTGCTCCACTACAGGTGTCGGGCTCGTCCCGGCGCTGCAATCCGGAAAGTTTTCGCCAGCAGTAGCCCCCTCCGGAGGACCGCACATGCGCAAAGTGTCCTGTGGCGTTCGCGCCTTTTCTGCGTCGCGCGGTCCCCGTGGCGTTCGCGCCTTTTCGGTGTCACGCGGTCTGACGCGCCAGTTCCTCCTAACCGTCCACGGCCGCAGAGACTTGGAACACGCTCCCCTCTGAGGAGAAATCGTATTGTTAATTCGTTTGTTCCTTCCCAGTTAGCCCCTTCCCTCGTAGTTAGTTAGTTATCTCAGTTAGTTCATAGTTTTAAAAAAAAAATGTTTTATTGTTCTCTTGCCGTTACAACCTCTGAGGGCCACTTCGACCAGCCCCTCAAGTTCTTCTTTTCCCTCAGGGACCTCCGCATTAAGCATGCCCGGTTCCCCCGGCTTTAAGAAATGCGCTTCGTGCGCCAATGCCATGCCGGCCTCAGACGGCCACTCCTGCTGTATCCGCTGCCTGGGAGAGGGCCACATTCCCCAGAAATGCGGTCACTGCTTGAAGTTGACCGCCCGGGCGAGACGGGACAGAGAAATGTGCCTGAAGATGTTACTCTTCAATAAGGCGCTTCAGCCCCCGTCATCAGGAGAACGGGCTGAAGGAGAGGCACGGGACTCATCGGGCTTCCCTCCCAAATGGGTAGTGGACAAGTCAGCCAAAGCCCGTAGTACCTCAGCACCCAGTCCCGCACTTTCAGTGTGCTCAGCCACGTCAGGCCATCTGGAATCGACACCGTCATCCGTGGCACCGAGCCTCCGCACGGCACCGCAACCAGACACGGTGCGGTCTTCGGCACCGAGACACCCAGCACCGTTGTCCCATGTGGCACCTCAGCACGCTTCCAGGCCGGAACCGGCACCAAGAGCCGACCCGGCACCGAAGTCTAAGCTGGCACCGAAGTCTAAGCCGGCACCGAAGTCTAAGGAGCCGGCACCGGGAAAGGACTCGACGGCAACCCAGCCTCCTTCGAGACCTGGGGATGCAGCTTTGCCTCACATACAGGGCACGTCTGCAACGGCCCGCATGGAACACACACTGTGTGCTGCCCGACCTACACAGTCAATTATCTCGGCAACGGCTCCTGTGGCACCAAGACTCCAAAGCTCAGGGGACAAAACGGCACCACCATCTCCACACCGCCTGGAGGAGGCTTCTGACTCGGCCTCAGTCGTTTCAATTCCCGTGGCTCCCCCATCCATGGGAGTACCCACTAAGGCGCAAAGGAAGACGCACCATCCCCGTATGCCTTCCCCCACTCCCTACAGGGTGGCTTTTTCCCCTGAGCCATCACTCTCACCCTACCAGAGACGATGAGACCACCATTACGGCTATTCTTCCATACACCGTTATTACAGATCCTCAAGGTGCTCTATTACACCGCCACGTTACCACCGCGCATACTACTCGAGATCCCTGTCAACATTCGCATCGCTCACGATCTCCGAGTTCTCCTCCTCGCTCCCGCTACTATCGTCAGAGGAGCGCCGCTTCTTACCGCAATATTCACACCACGACTCTCATTATCGTGGCTATACCTCGCCCCATCGTGATCGTTCACGTTCTTTCACGAGGCACTCACCAACCTTGTCTCAAGAGCGACGCCAATTATACTCACCACGGCCAACGACCCAGGACTCTATCCCGCTGGCTCAACGTCCTCCAACACCTACTGGGGATGAGTTAACAGCTTCGGTCCCGCACAGTGACATCACTCAGTCACCCGTCACAGAGCAACAACCTGCAGCTTCTCCAACAGATGTTTCTTCCTCTTCCCCAGATGACGCGGTTTTTAACGATGAACCCGTGCTTGTGGATGATTACAATCAATTCCATGAACTTTTTAAGCGGGTAGCATATTCTCAAAATCTGCGTACCTCCAAGGTGCCTCAGAAGCAACATGCCCTTCTCAGAAATCTACAACACTCTAATAAGCCGAAACTCGCTCTCCCTTTTGATGCCGTGATCCTTGAGATAGCTAACGACATCTGGTAGACCCCAGCATCTGTACCTTCTACCAACAAACGCATAGACAAGAAGTACTTTATTGACTCCAAAGACGCAGAATTTCTTTTTCGCACCCCACTCCAAATTCCATCGTCGTCGACGCAGCTCAGCAAAGGGCGAAGTCTGCACAATCAAGGAACTCTGCCGCGGACAAGGAATCCAAGCACCTGGATTTGCTCGGGAGGAAGGTATATTCCTCGGCCACAGCCACATTGAGGATGGCCAATTATTCCGCCCAACTCACCAATCACGACTTTGATAATTACTCGAAGTTGGTGCCTCTAATTCAACACCTACCAGGCTCCAAGCAGGACATACTGAAATCTATCATGCAGGAGGGTTATACAACAGCCCGTAATGCACTCCAGATATCGCTGGATATTGCCGACTTGGCCTCCCGCACTACGGCGACATTGGTCGTCATGCGACATGCCTCTTGGCTCCACCTTGCTTCAGTACCAAAAGATCTACAACCCAAGGTGGAGGACCTTCCATTTGATCGAGCTTCCTTGTTTGCCCAGAACACTGACCAGGTGTTCCATTCTGGAAAAGACTCCCGAACTACTCTAAGGACCCTCGGGATATACACTCCGCCTTTCAGGAGCAGGAGGGCATGGCCATATAACAAACAAAGGCCTTCTTCCTCTTATTCCACCCAATGCTTAAGGCCCTACGACCAACAGAAACAAAGGCAGCGCCCCCAACGTTGCCGCCAGCAACCTAATAAGCAGCAGAGTCACCAACAACCTCGGCAACAGGTTTGACGCCCTTGTCGAGGGTCTGCGCACCATCCCCCTATTGGAGCCTTCATCGCGAGTAACCAAGCTTTTCCACCGCCGCCTAAACCCTTATTGCCACTGCTGGTTCGCCATCACCACGGACTGTTGGGTCAGGGAGATCGTAACCTCTGGACTCACCTTTCCCTTCTCTACTCTACCTCCCTCCAACCCCCCATCCCTGTCCCTTTTCAGGGACCCCTCTCACGATCTTCTATTGTGTCAGGAGGTCATGCACCTACTTACCATTGGAGCGGTAGAAGAAGTTCCCCCCGAGTTCCGAGGCAGAGGTTTCTATTCCCGGTACTTCCTCACCGAGAAGAAGTCCAGCGGATGGAGACCGATCCTGGATCTTTGCGGCCTCAACCGCCACCTGCGAAAACAAAAATTCAAAATGGTTACTTTGGGCTCCATCATCCCAGCGCTACACAAAGGGGATTGGTTCGCATCCCTCGACCTCCAGGACGCATATTTCCATATTGCCGTCCATCCAGCTCACAGGAGGTTTCTACGCTTTACTGTAGGCAGCGATCATTACCAATACGCAGTGCTCCCCTTCGGCCTCTCTGCAGCCCCAAGAGTGTTCTCAAAGACCCTGGCAGTCGTAGCTACCATCTTCCCCTATCTCGACGACTGCCTCCTCACAGGCCCTTCCATACAAGAGACCGAGGCCGCAGTTACAGTTACAAGAGGTATTTTCAAGACCCTTGGACTAATCATCAATCTCCCAAAATCTTCTCTGGTTCCCATGCAAGCCATCGAATTAATTGGAGCCACACTGAACTCTATAACCGCTATGGCGTACCTACCCATGGACAGAGCCGACGCCATCCGAGACCTAGCGAACGTCTTACTTACTGCTCCGGAAGTCTCGTGCCTTACCTTCCTGAAGCTGTTAGGCCACATGGCCCCTACTGCATACATCATAACGCACGCTCGCCTTCGTATGCGGTGCCTGCAACGTTGGCTTCTCGCAACATACAAACCCGGTATTACCAATGTCCACACACTCATGCCTCTTCCGACCCATGTCAAGGACTTGCTCGCATGGTGGCTCCACCCTGCCAATACTCTTGCTGGTGTCCCCTTCTGGGCTCAACCCCCGTCAATCCAGCTTACCACGGATGCGTCCTTTGTAGGCTGGGGACCACATATACTACAACATCGGGTTCAAGGCTTGTGGTCCCACCAGGAATCCCTACTCCATATAAATTTCCTGGAGCTCAGAGCGGTTTTCAACGCTTGCCGCCACTTTGTCCACCAGATCCAGGGAACCACACTTCAGGTCCTCACGGACAACATATGCACCGTGTACTATATCAATCGACAAGGCGGAGCCAGATACAGAACTTTGTGTGCGGAATCGGTACGCCTTTGGAATTGGGCGATTCGCCACAACGTCACGCTCACAGCCTCCTACGTCCGCAGCAGGATCAATACCATTGTGGACGCACTCAGCAGATCCTTCCAATCCCAACACGAATGGGAACTCCTCGATTACGTATCCCACGATCTTTTTCTACGGTGTGGATATGCAGAAATCGACCTCTTTGCCACTCATGACAACAAGAAGTGTCGCTGTTACTGCTCAAAGGGGGCATAGGCAAGCAATCAAAGGGAGATGCCTTCCTGCTCAATTGGGGGACATATCATCTCCTATACGCCTTTCCCCCAATCTCCCTGATACCCCGAGTGATAGGGAAAATACTATCCAACGCAGCGACAGTAATCCTGGTGGCTCCCTTTTGGCCTCGCCAAACCTGGCTGACGCAGCTCATGCAGATGTCAATATGCCGATCTCAACGACTTCCACAGCTGAGCAACCTGCTCTCGCAGCAACGCGGCAATCTTCTCCATCCAAACATCGATCATTTGCACCTGACAGCTTGGCTCCTAACTGGCTCCAAGGCCTAGAGCTGACCTGCTCCCAGGCAGTCAGAGATGTACTGGTACAAAGCAGACGCCAGAGCACTCAGAAATCTTACCTCTATAAGTGGCGTCGCTTCTATGCTTGGTGCCAATTGCAGACCATTGATCCTCCCAAGGCACATATCCAATGCATCCTAGACTATATGCTTCACTTACATTCGTAGGGCTTGGGGGTTGCTTCCCTAAGAGTGCATCTGGCAGAGATTTTGGCCTTTCACACTCCGATAGAAGGTTTTTCCATCTTCTCACACCCACTCACGAAGAGATTCTTTAAGGGTATTTCTAATCTTTACCCACCACACAGGCCTATCGCAGAACCTTGGGACCTTACCTTCGTACTGGATACTCTTACTTGCCCACCATTTGAACTCCTCGCAACTTGTGATTTACAAACTCTCACTATCAAATTTGCCTTTCTCCTTGCGATCACTTCGGCCCGTCGAGTTTCTGAGCTCGCAGCACTCTCCGCTGATCCTCCCTACACAATATTCACTCAACACAGTGTCTCCCTGAGATGTCACCCCGCCTTCGTGCCAAAAGTTAATTCATCATTCCACATCAACGAGCCTATGGTTTTTCCTACCTTTTACCCTACCACATGCTACACCTGAGGGAAGTGCGCCTGCATACATTAGACGTCAGAAGGGCGCTGGCATTCTACTTGGACAGAACACGTCCCAAGGGATTGCTATTATCAGTGGCGACCCGTTCTAAAGGTCATCAGCTATCATCACAACGCATATCGTCCCATATTGTTAACTGTATCTCTTGCTGTTACACCCTTAGGGGCAGGACCCTACTCCGTCCACCAACAGCACACTCAACCAGGAGCATGGCTGCCTCCACAGCATTCCTGAAGAACGTTCCCTTACGTGACATATGCCATGCAGCGACCTGGTCGTCGTCATCCACGTTTGCTCAACACTATGCCCTTGACCATCTCAGAGTTGTGGACGTAGCAGTCGCTCAGGCAGTCCTTTCATCTGTGCACAAATAATTCTGAAGCACGATCAACTGTCAGGGTGACTGCTTCATACTCACCTGTAGTGGAGCACTCACGGGGACATCACTCGAAGAAGAAGAAATTGTTACTCACCTTGTGCAGTAACATCTGTTCTTCGAGATGTGTGTCCCCGTGGGTGCTCCACGACTCACCCTCCTCCCTGCTTCGGAGCTCTTGTCTTCCTCTTTTTCAGATGTTCCGGCTAGGAGGAACTAGCGCGTCGGACCGCGCGACGCAGAAAAGGCGCGAACACCGCAGGGCACTCTGAGCATGCGCAGTCCTCCGGAGGGGGCTACTGCTGGCGAAAACTTTCCAGATTGTGGTGCCGGGACGAGCCCGACACCTGTAGTGGAGCACCCACGGGGACACATATCTCGAAGAACAGATGTTACTGCACAAGGTGAGTAACAATTTCTTCTTTAGGCAAAATAAGTTCCCATGGTACACTAATGAAACCTAGATGGATTATGTATATTAATATAGGACCAGGTTCTGGCCAGTGTTCATTGTTTACTGAGCTGATTGTAGTGTCCTGATTCTCAAGCTGGCTTTGCCTCTGACATTATACAGAAAAGTCAGGTCTGTGGCTCTCAGAGGCCATGACATCTGCCAAGATTAGAAGGTGCTTAACAGCACTCCAGCCATGCCTCCTTTTACACCCTGACATAGCTGAAGGAGCAGATGGTGAAAGAAGTGAAGACACTGGCACTACCACAGCCAAAAACACCCCTTTTTGCCCCCACTGAAGAGTTGAAAATCTTAGTTATTTTATAAGCTTTTTGAAGATAAAAAACACTATCTATAAAGTAGTGAGTATTATCATTTTTATTTCATCTGTACATTTTAGCTTTGGATGCACCCGTTTCCACTGAAGTCAGTAGCAAAGTGTCCACTGGCTTTTATGGGAGATTAATTGGGCAAATGTAGGAATCAGGGGATTCTATGAGCCAATAAAGAGGCATCAGATTTAAATAGTACCATTCTTAGCCCCAGAAATATGATATTATAGGCAACATTCTGTACATTACACAATAATCTGTGAAAATATTTTTGCTTAGTCTAAAATTCCAAAGATTTGTGCCACTCAGTGAAATCATTTATTTGTGACTTAAGTATATAGTGTTTTTTTCTTTTGGTTCATTTCTGCTCCTGCTAAAGTCAATGACAAATTTGTCACTGAAATCAGTAGGGGTATGTCTACACTTGCAGCCTATTTTGGAATAGGGCTGCAAATGTAGGAATTCGAAATTGCAAATCAAGCCCGGGATTTAAATATCCCGGGCTTGATTTGCATCTTCCTGGCCAGGCGCCATATTTTTTTTTTTTTTAAATTTACAAGCCCAGAATAACTACCCACGTCGACACACAGCAGTGAAAAGGGCACTCAAAATAAAGCCCTATTTCGAACTATCTGTTAAACCTCATTGCAGGAGGAATAACAGGTAGTTCGAAATAGGGCTTTATTTCGAACCCCTGTTTCACTGCCGTGTGTAGACGCAGGCAGTTATTCCAGGCTTGTAAATTTCAAAAAATGGCGCCCGGCTGGGAAGATGCAAATTAAGCGTGAGATTTTTACATCCCGGGCTTGATTTGCAATTCTGAATGCCTACATTTGCAGCACTATTCTGAAATAGGCTGCAAGTGTAGACATACCCTAGGAGAAGAAGCAGGCCCTAATTTCTTGCCTATTTGTTGGATTTCAGATATACTGTCCCTAATGCACCAATTATGGGTTTTTATATTTTTCCCTCAAGGTGGCTTGCTGAGGATGAAAATGATGGACTCACTGTAGTGCAGCTTTATACATAGCTGTTTTCTAGGATGCACAGTGAATATGCTGCTGCTTCAGATTCATGCTGATTTGATTTATTTGTATTTTATAATTATGAAGGTACTGTAATTATTATGTAGAAATGTCAAAACACTAGATTAACAACAGCAGCAGATATTGAACCGACCTAATGTGAACACCCTTCTAGGAATTCTTAACAGTTTGGCGCAAATTAACTGTAAACAAAGCAGAAATTTAGAGCTGTACCATGGCTTTCAGAGTTTGATATGTGCCTTCACAGGATGGAGTATATATCGTAGCATTTATAAAAATCATTTTTTCTTGGTGATTTGTGTGTGTGAATCATAGTTAATACTTGTGTGAAATCTGCTTCAGGATTGATATTTATTAAGATTTGTATTTTCTCAAGATCACTTTTTAAACAAACCCATATGCCTCTTTCACCCCACCATGCATGCAACGTCTCATAACTGCAGCTACAAAACTAACTGTGGGAAAATGATCTTTTTGGATCTATCTTCACTGAAGAATTTGCCCCATTATTTCTCCCATTTACATTTGACACATAACCTTTTGAAGAATACTGATCCAGGAACCTTTAGATCTCACTGCTCTACCTACTCAGAATCTTACAAGAGAATTTCCATGTGCTGTCATTTAGTCATAGCCATTTCTGGCTCTTAATTTCTGTCAGAGAAAAGCCTTTATACCTTCCCTTTCCCACTACTCTGAATTACAACATACTCAAAATAATAAATGCATTTATGACTGAATACATTGTTATTTATGAACTCCTCTCTGTTTATATTGGTTTTACCAGTGTGGGTGCTTGAAGTGTCCATAGAAGAGAAGGGCCTCAAACAAAATTATGAAATGAACGCTCCTTGAAAATTGATAGTAAACATAAGAATACAAACCCAGTTCTAGATGTGAAGTTTGCAAGGGTGTCCCTCTCTTTTTGAAGATCAACCCCAAATCCTGGATCTAAATACTCCTAAACTTTGGGTAGGTCGGCCCTGCCACTGGGAGTGTGCTTCTCAGTATGGATAGACAGACATTCTACATCTGCTTGAGCTAGCACATTAAAAATAGCAGCGTAACCAGTGGTACCACAGGCAGTGGCTCAGGCTAGCCACCCAACCAAGCATCAGGGAGTGGATTTGTATTCAGGCAGCTAGTCCTGGCTGCTGCCCATGCTACCCTCACCTATGCTTCTATTTTTAGCGTCCTAGCTCCAGAAGAGCTAGTGCATGTCATAGAATCATAGAATCATAGAATAATAGGACTGGAAGGGACTTCAAGAGGTCATCGAGTCCAGCCCCCCGCCCTCAAGGCAGGACCAAGCTCCACCTACACCATCCCTGACAGATGTCTATCTAACCTGTTCTTAAATATCTCCAGAGAGGGAGATTCCACCACCTCCCTTGGCAATTTATTCCAATATTTGACCACCCTGACAGTTAGGAATGTTTTCCTAATGTCCAATCTAAACCTCCCCTGCTGCACTTTAAGCCCATTACTCCTTGTCCTGTCCTCAGAAACCAAGAGAAACAAATTTTCTCCTTCCTCCTTGTGACACCCTTTTAGATATTTGAAAACCACTATCATGTCCCCCCTTAATCTTCGTTTTTCCAAACTAAACAAGCCCAGTTCATGAAGCCTGGCTTCATAGGCTTCTCTAGACCTTTAATCATTCTTGTCGCTCTTCTCTGTACCCTTTCCAATTTCTCCACATCTTTCTTGAAATGTGGCGCCCAGAACTGGACACAGTACTCCAGCTGAGGCCTAACTAGCGCAGAGTAGAGCGGCAGAATGACTTCACGAGTTTTGCTTACAACACACCTGTTAATACAACCTAGAATCATATTTGCTTTTTTTGCAACAGCATCACACTGTTGACTCATATTCAACTTGTGGTCCACTATGACCCCTAGATCCCTTTCCGCCATGCTCCTTCCTAGACAGTCGCTTCCCATCTTGTATGTATGGAACTGATTGTTCCTTCCTAAGTGGAGCACTCTGCATTTCTCCTTATTAAACCTCATCCTGTTTACCTCTGACCATTTCTCTAACTTGCTAAGGTCATTTTGAATTATGTCCCTATCCTCCAAAGAAGTTGCAACCCCACCCAGTTTGGTATCATCTGCAAACTTAATAAGAGTACTCTCTATCCCAATATCTACATCATTGATGAAGATATTGAACAGTACGGGTCCCAAAACAGACCCTTGAGGAACTCCACTTGTTATCCCTTTCCAGCAGGATTTAGAACCGTTAACAACAACTCTCTGACTACGGTTATCCAGCCAATTATGCACCCACCTTATCGTGGCCCTATCTAAGTTATATTTGCCTAGTTTATCAATAAGAATATCATGCGAGACCGTATCAAATGCCTTACTAAAGTCTAGGTATATGACATCCACCGCTTCTCCCTTATCCACAAGGCTCGTTATCCTATCAAAGAAAGCTATCAGATTAGTTTGGCATGACTTGTTCTTCACAAACCCATGCTGGCTATTCCCTATCACTTTATTACCTTCCAAATCACTTTATTACCTTCCAATGTCTGTCTACCTGAGCTAGGAAGCATGATCCTAGCTGCAGTGTGGGCATATCCTTTGAGGAGTTTAAAATCTATTTTTAAATCTGAATGTTAAAATGGGCCTCTCTCTTCTCCAGAGCACCATTAGACTGTATGCAATCAGGGATCACTTGATGAATTTGTTATACCGTAGAATTAAATTAAATTTATTTTAATACATTCTGATGAAGTATTTGCATGTTTGCATTTTTTAAAAGTCCTGTGGGTTTTTTTTCCATGCTATTCTTTCAAATAAGGTATGTTGGCTGATACGTTTATGAAAAATGAAACAATGGCTATTTTGATTCAAACAAACAAACAAAAAACCCCACCTTATGGTTATTGCAAGTTGAGTTCTATTTTTATACATTTTGTTAGGTCATCACACTGAAGATCTACTATATGATGTGATCTGACTGAACAAGAAAACAGGGTCAATTTAGCTCTTCAAAAATACTCTTTGCACTTGCATTGCTACCATGCATGCTGGAATGGATTTAAAACTGTATCCCCAGAGTGCACAGTTCAGCTACTTAGAATCAGTATTCATTACACTGAATCACTTTGTTGTGATCTATTATGTGATTTGTTTCATTATTATGTCTTTCATTAATAGTTTGTAATACTATTCTCTTTGATGCCATTGCTGATTTATCATGTGTAAATAATGCCGTCCTAATCTGTTTTTCATTACTAATAGTAAATACCTTCTTCCAGTAGCTGGCTTTCTTATTGAAAAATGATTTCCGCTACCTGCACAGTATACAATTAAATGATTCAATTCACTCCTTTAGGTGCAGATGAATGCAAACTATGTCCCCTGTGATTGCAGGGACAGTAACACAAGGCAGAAGTGATTCAATACAAAGGTTTGAAACTTCTACCTTGACAGGACTGCTTTAAATATCACAGGAGTCTCGGTAGTAGAAGCTGCCTAGAAGATGTTCTTAGTACAGTTAATGACTTATGACTCAAGTCTCATTTTCAAAAGTGATTGAGGCACTTAGGAGCCTAAATCTCATGGACTTTAAATGATCTTTTCTTTCAATATCCATTGACTTTCCAATAGACTTCCAGTATGATTGAACTAAAAGCTGAAGATACACGCTAGTACAGTGAGTTTTTTTCATGAGTGTAATAAATTCAGGAGGCGGTAGCTAGTTTGATGGAGGAATTATTTTGTTGACATAACAGTGTCTATTCCAGGGCCCAGGTCAGCTTAACTTTCTCTCTCACAGAGATGTGAATTTTTACACGCTAGAGCAATGTAAACAGGTCAACTTAAATTTTAAGTATAGACCAGGTCTTAGGCTCACAAGTGCCAAAGGTCCAAGTTTTAAAGGTATTTAGGGGTTGTTGCACTCAGCATTGCAATGCCTAACTGATTTAGGAGCATACACCTAATTTGCAAAAGGAATTTACACATTAAATTTATGGAGATTGCCTATCTCCTAGAACTGGAAGGGACCTTGAAAGGTCATTGAGTCCAGTCCCCTGCCTTCACAGCAGGACCAAGTACCATCCCTGATGAATTTTTGCCCCCAATCCCTCAACAAGGATTGAACTCACAACTCTGGGTTTAGCAGGCTAATGCTCAAACCACTGAGCTATCCCTCCCCACTGATTTAGGAGGCTAAGCCCATTGAGAGTCAATGGGATTTAGACTAAGTGCCTAAATCTCTTTTGAAAATCCAGTTTATATTTCTGGGTCAGTTAGACATTGCAATGCTAAGTGGAGCAATAAGTAAATACTTTTGAAAATCTGGACCCAATGATTAGCTTTTCAAAATGTTACCCCTGGTGCTTGAATGTCTACTGTTAATTATGTAGAGAAGAAGTTTGGCATACTGCCTCTATTAACACAGGGTTCTGAAAGACCATAGACTCTTTCTGCCATTGTACTTGGACTGGCATTAAGGGTATGTCTAGATTACATGCTTCTGCTGACAGAGGCATGTAAAATAGGCTACCCGACATAGTCAATGAAGCGGGGATTTAAATATCCCCGGCTTCATTCAAATAAAAATGGCCACCGTGCTGTGCCGGCTTAGCTGATCGTCGGCACAGCGCGAGTCAAGACACGGATCAGTCAATAAGGGAAGCCTTTGTCAATCACTCCGTTATGCCTCCTGAAACAAGGGTTACAGGAGCTGTCAACAAAGGCTTCCCTTATTGACTGATCCGTGTCTTGACTCGCGCTGTGCCGACGATCAGCTAAGCCGGCACAGCACGGTGGCCATTTTTATTTGAATGAAGCCGGGGATATTTAAATCCCCGCTTCATTGACTATGTCGGGTAGCCTATTTTACATGCCTCTGTCAGCAGAGGTATGTAATCTAGATATACCCTAAATGCAGTGTGGGATAATCCCTTCTTCTAACTCTGGCCTGAATGCTTCAGAAGGACTGGTATTGAGTGCTGAGGAATTCCAAAGCAAAGAACTTAAGACAAAATGAAGGTTGTATGTATCAGGAGAGTGCTATTCAATTTAAAGAGTGCTAGAATATTATATTCTTTTTTAAAAATCAGGCACTACATAGTGAAGATTCAAAATGAATAAACATGTCACCAGAAAATTAGAATGCTGTGCCTCATAAGACCTCAGCATCAGGAAGTCTGGAAATTCTCAGTTAAGATTACGGTAACAATCAACTTTAACTCTGCTTCTTATCTCCACTTTCCTTCTTAACTAACTTTCATGGTATATATATGAGTTACAATACAATATTCATTTGCTATTGGCTCTGATATAACCTACATCCACGTTAGTGGCCTTTAAAGGCACAGGAATACCTAGGCCTACCTTGCTAGGGGGTGTTAGGATTTGAAGGAATATGACTTTGAAAACTAATTGTCCAAAGTCATATTCTGATTGTATTGTTGGGCTCATGAATGCTTTCACAATTGTACAGTCAATCCCAATGCTGCACTGAAGGATTCTCATTACCAAAATGAAAAAAAAAATCATTTTACCAAGTAGGTAAAATGAATGAACCAAAAAGGAAGTTGAAAGTAATAATCATTTTACTTTCATATTTTCCTTCTAATTTAACAAAATGGTTGCTTACTGCTTTTGGAGTGGGGAAGGCAGTGAAAAGGTTTGTAACATGGTATGGATTTTGCCTACAAATGTATCTAGCCCGTATAATTCCCCATCCTGTTCCTGCCTCTTCTGTTATCTCCAATTATGTATTTCAATGTAAAAGATAAATCAATGTGGAGTCAAGATTGCTGACATCCCTGTCTAAAGAACGAACACTAAATCCTGAATTGAAGTTCTTTCACACACTTTAGAAGTCACTTCCTCTTTCATATGTAACATTCCTGTCAATGTACTCACATAAATAGGAATGAGAAATCATAGTTCACATTACAACCTATACCGAGACTGCAAAAACATTAATTTAATATATTGACATGCTTAAATATGCTAAGTAGTTTCTGAAGAACTCTATTAACATTTTAAGCCTGATGCAGCAAGATACTTAAGCCTAAGTTAAAATACATGAGTAATCCTATTGACATCAGTGGAGGGCTACTGCCATACTTAAATTAGGCATGTATGTAAGTATCTTGTTGGTCTGGAACCTGTATCTTTGCAATATATATAATATACTCATACATATGCTATGCAAAATGAAATCACACAAAAGTAATGGATACATTAGCAAACATAATGTATGTATATTACCAAGCAAAATAATTTCTGAAACCATAAGAACATTTTTAGGAAGACCTATAAAAAAGATTACACT